CCCCCTCAGTCCCCCTCCTGCTCCGCCCCCCTCAGTCCCCCTCCTGCTCCGCCCCCCCAGTCCCCCTCCTGCTCCGCCCCCCTCAGTCCCCCTCCTGCTCCGCCCCCCTCAGTCCCCCTCCTGCGCCCTCAGGGCGACCATGCGCCGGGAGGAGGGAATGGGGAGGTTGCCGCTGGGGTAATAGAGGGCGCGTGGGCAGGGGAGGGAGTGGCCAGCGGCTGCCGGAGAGGCGGGAAGGCAAGGACAAGGGGGGGCCCGGGCTATAAACGCTCGGCTGCAGCAGCGCCCGCAGAGGAGCCGCCGAGCCCACCCCAGCTGCCCTGCGGACCCCGCCGCCTCCAGCCGAGACCCTTCCAGGGCTCCGCGGGCGCATCTCCCGGCGGCAGGGCGGAGGGGTGTCCGGGGCGGTGCCGGGGCGCAATCCTGGAGGGCGGCCGGGAGGAGGAGGGAGGCGCAGCCATGCACAGGGCGGCTATATCCGGGCCCAACGCGTCCTGGTGGGCGCCCGCCAACACCTCGGGCTGCCCGGGCTGCGGCGCCAACGCCTCCGACGGTCGGGTCCCCGCTCCGGGGTTCGTGGACTCCTGGGTGGTGCCGCTCTTCTTTGCGGCGCTGATGCTGCTGGGCCTGGTGGGGAACTCGCTGGTCATCTACGTCATCTGCCGCCACAAGCAGATGCGGACAGTGACCAACTTCTACATCGGTGAGTGCGCGCGCCGCGCCGCACCTGCCGCCGGTCGGGTCGGGGGACTCCGAGGGCCGAGCGGCTTGGGGCTCCTCCTCGCGGCGCACCGGGGCCCTCCCAGACCCGGCTCTGTCCCCCGCAGGGGTCCCCCCCACCCCGAAGTCTGGGGTGCCGCACGTGGAGCCAAAGGCTGGGGGCGGGTTTGGCCGACAGGTCTCAGTTTGCGACCTCTGTTCTGGTGGCTCTCTGAGCCTATTTATGCATTTGTGTCCTGGGGTCCCCTACCCCACACAGCTGTGAGTCCAGTCGGTGGCTGCTGGGCCGGGACCCTTGTCTCCAGTTTGCAGATGAGGAAACTGAGGCTCAGAGAGGCGGGGGTCTGCTCGGGCTTCTCCAGCCCCCACACGGCGGAGCAGAAATGATTTCTGGCCGGCCGCGGTGGCTCAGGTCTGTAATCCCACCAGTTTGGGAGGCCGAGGCGGGCGGATCACTAGGTCAGGAGTTCGAAACCAGCCTGGCCAACAAGGGGAAACCCCGTCTCTACTAAAATTATAAAATTTAGCTGGGCGTGGTGGCGCGCGCCTGTAATCCCAGCTACGCGGGAGGCTGAGGCAGGAGAATCGCTTGAACCCGGGAAGCGGAGATTGCATTAAGCCAATATGTGGCCACTGTATTCCAGCCTGGACGACAGAGGGAGACTCGGTCTCAAAATATGTATATATTCTCCACCAAAAACAAACAAACAAAAAACAAAACAAAACAAAACAAAAAAAAACAAGAACTGATTTTTGCGGTAATGGCCAGGAAACCCGAGCTGGAGTGCGTAATGTTTGAGATGTAACCAGGAATTACCGGACGGTGTCCCAACTTCTCCGCCCGAGGAGGCCGGGGGCTCTGCGGGGAGGCCTCCCTGAGCCACCCTGCTGGTCGCTCAGACCAGGGTGCGGGCCAGAAGCGCTCACGCCCAGCGCCCGCGTGTTCCCACCGCAGCTAACCTGGCAGCCACGGACTTGACCTTCCTCCTGTGCTGCGTCCCCTTCACCGCCCTGTTGTACCCGCTGCCCGCCTGGGTGCTGGGCGACTTCATGTGCAAGTTCCTCAATTACATCCAGCAGGTGCGCTCCGGAGCAGGAGGGGAGGGGACAAACGTGGGGACGGGGAGGGGGTGCGCTCCGGAGCAGGAGGGAAGGGGAGTGAATGTAGGGAGGGAGGGCGCACGTGGTGGGGGCGACCTTGGGCGGAGCGCGGGGCAACGCATAGGAAAACCAGGGGCTGGGGGGCCCAGCTTGCGGGACGCGGCTGGGCGGGGGGTGCAGCCTAGACCTGGAGTGCGCAGCCCGAACGGTGGGGTGGAGACACAGACGGAGACCCGGGTCACTGGTGAGGAAGGACGATCCAGGCTCTGAGGCTTCTTGCCCGCGTGTCCCTCCACTCCACGCAGCCCCCCTGTCTTAGACTCAGGGTCCCAGCCGCCCCCAGGGGCTTCCTCACTTGCCCAACCCTCCGGTCCCCTCAACCCGCCTTGGACACCCCTCCCCGGAAACATCCCGTGCCTGAGTGTTCGCACACGCAGGGGGACCGGCAGGGCTGGCGACAGGGCAGGCTCTCAACTGCGCAGGTGGCCACACACCCTGCTGGGGGCCCCCGCAGGTCTCGGTGCAGGCCACGTGCGCCACTCTGACCGCCATGAGCGTGGACCGCTGGTACGTGACAGTGTTCCCACTGCGCGCCCTGCACCGCCGCACGCCCCGCCTGGCGCTGGCTGTCAGCCTCAGCATCTGGGTGGGTAAGTACACCTCCCCCGGGAAGGGGAACAAGTCCTAGCGCCCTGGGCGCCCGGAGCCCCCTGCTGCCTCGCTCTGGCATCTGGAGAATGGGCGCAATAGCTCTGCCTGCCCAGGACTAGCGAGGCTGCAGACTGGGCGCCCACTCAGCAGGGTGGCTCGGTGAGCGCCTCCCGGGGAGGCACTTGGGGGGCCGCTGGTCCCCCGAGTGGGGTCTTCACCGGCGTGTGGCGCAGGCTCCGCGGCGGTGTCTGCGCCGGTGCTCGCCCTGCACCGCCTGTCCCCGGGGCCAAGCACCTACTGCAGAGAGGCCTTCCCCAGCCGCGCCCTGGAGCGCGCCTTCGCGCTGTACAACCTGCTGGCGCTGTACCTGCTGCCGCTGCTCGCCACCTGCGCCTGCTATGGGGCCATGCTCCGCCACCTGGGCCGGGCCGCCGTGCGCCCCGCGTCCCTCGATAGCGCCCTGCAGGTGCGCGGCGTGCGGGGACGGCGAGACGGGGCGGGCGGGGAGGCACCAGGGTGGGAGGCGCCGGTGGGGGCATCTGCGCGGTAGGGACAGCCCAGGGGGTCCAGGAGGGGCGGCGCGAGGGGATGAGCCCAGCCGGCCGCGGCCTCTGCTCTGACCGCCTCCTCCCACCCCCAGGGGCAGCTGCTGGCTCAGCGCGCCGACGCGGTGCGGGCCAGGGTGTCGCGGCTGGTGGCGGCCGTGGTCCTGCTGTTCGCCGCCTGCTGGGGCCCCATCCAGCTGTTCCTGACGCTGCAGGCGCTGGGCCCCGCGGGCGCCTGGCACCCGCGCAGCTACGCCGCGTACGCGGTCAAGACCTGGGCTCACGGCATGTCCTACAGCAACTCCGCGCTGAACCCGCTGCTCTACGCCTTCCTGGGCTCGCACTTCCGACAGGCCCTCCGCCGCGTGTGCCCCTGCGCGCCCCGCCGCCCCCGCCCCCGCCCCCGCCGGCCCGGAGCCTCGGACCCCGCCGCCCCGCGCGCGGAGCTGCACCGCCTGGGGTCCCACCCGGCCCCCGCCAGGGCGCAGAAGCCAGGGCGCGGCGGGCCGGCGGCGCGGGAACTCTGCGTCCCGGGGGAGGACGGCGCCCCTCTCTGAGCGGACCCGTGGGGAAACAAGCGGCCCCCTCCGGAGCGGGGGCTGCTGGAACAGCGGCTGTTCTTCTGTTTGTCATGTTTTTCTTGCAGTCCGAGATCATCCATGCAAATGTTTTGGCCTCTTCTGACAGTCGGGTGCAGGTTTGCTGTGATGTTTGCTGTTGACATTGAAATTATCTCTGTGTTTCCTGAAATTAAAGATGTGTCAACACGGGACTTTCTGGATCATTCCAGAACATGTCAGATGTTCTCTCGCGGTCTTGCAGTTGTCACTCTGTATGATTCATTCCACTTTTCTTTTTCTTTCTCTCCTTCTTTCTTTCCCCCTCCTCCCTCCCTCCTCCCTCCCTCCCTCTCTCTCTCTCTCCCCCTCTCTCTCTGTCTTCCTTTTTTTTTGAGACATGGTCTCATTGGGGTGCAGTGGCGCGATCTCAGCTCACTGCAGCCTCTGCCTCAGCTCACTACTACCTGCGCCTCCCTGGCTCAAGCGATTCTCCTGCCTCAGCCTCCCAAGTAGCTGGGATTACCGAAATAGGCCGCCACGCCTGGCTAATTTTTGTATTTTTAGTAGAGATGGGGTTTCGCCTTGTTAATCAGGCTGGTCTCAAACTCCTGACCTTAAGTGATCCCCCTGGCTCAGCCTCCCGAAGTGCTGAGATTACAGGCGTGAGCCACTGCTCTTGGGCTCGACCCACTCTTAGAGATGCTAAAATGTGAAAACAGGCTGGATGCAGGGGCTCACACCTGTAATCCCAGCACTCTGGGAGGCTGAGGTTGGACGGTCTCTTCAGCCCAGGAGTTCCAGACCAGCTTAGGTAACATAGAGAGATCCTGTCTCTACAAAAAATATGAAAATTAGCCGCATGTGGTGGCGTTCACCTGTAGTATCGGCTGCTTGGGAGGCTGAGGTGGGAGGATCACTTGAGCCCAGGAGGTTGAGGCTGCAGTGAGCCATGATCGTACCACTGCACTCCAGCCTGGGTGGCAGAGCAAGACCCTGTCTCAAAAATAAAATTAGGGGGGCAGGCACGGTGGCTCACACCTGTAATCCCAGGACTTTTGGATTATTTGTTCCAAATAATCTGGGATACTGTGAACCTCCACACAGGCCTCCAAGGCCGCCAGATCACGAGGTCAGGAGTTCGAGACCAGCCTGGCCAACATGGTGAAACCCCGTCTCTACCTGAAAATACAAAAAATAGCCAGGCTTTGTGGTGGGTGTCTGTAATCCCAGCTACTTGGGAGGCTGAGGCAGGAGAATCGCTTGAAACCGGAAGGTGGAGGTTGCAGTGAACCGAAATCACACCACACCACTGAGCTCCAGCCTGGGCGAAAGAGCAAAACTCCGTCTCAAAAAAAAAAAAAAAAAAAGTGACAGGCTCTCACTCTGTCACCCAGGCTGGAGTGCAGTGGCACCATTTCAGCTCACTGCAGCCTCCGCCTCCCAGGCTCAAGTGATCCTCCCGCCTCAGCCTCCTGAGTAGCTGGGACCACAGGTGTGCACCACCATGCCCAGCTAATTTTTTGTATTTTTAGTAGAGACAGTGTTTTTTCACCATGTTGCCCAGGCTGGTCTCGAACTCCTGAACCCAGGTGATTGATTGCCCACCTTTGCCTCCCAAAGTGCTGAGATCACAGGCGAGAGCCACTGCACCCAGCCAAGAACGCTGAAGAACTCTTCAGGCCCGAGCTTAGAAGTCCCACAAGGTTACTGGTCTTGCTGGTTCACACTTAAAATGCTAATGCTTTGAAGGGCTGAGGAGGGAAGACTGCTTGGGGCCAGGAGCTGAAGACAAGCCTGGGCAACATAGCAAGACCCCATCTCTACAAGGAAATTTATGCTGGGCGTGGTGGCTCACACCTATAATCCCAGCGCTTTGGGAGGCCGAGGTGGGTGGATCACCTAAGCTCAGGGGTTCGAGACCAGCTTGGCCAACATGGTGAAAACCAGTTTCTACTAAAAATACAAAAATTAGTGTGGCGTGGTGGTAGGCGTCTGTGGTCCCAGCTACTTGGGAGGCTGAGGCAGGAAAATTACTTGAGCCCAGAAGATGGCGGTTGCAGTGAGCTTAGTTGGCACCACTGCACTCCAGCCTAGGCAACAGAACTAGGCTCCATCTCTCTTTTTTGTTTGTTTGTTTGTTTGTTTTTGAGACGGAGTTTCGCTCTTGTTGCCCAGGCTGGAGTGCAATGGCGCGATCTCGGCTCACCGCAACCTCCGCCTCCTGGGTTCAGGCAATTCTCCTGCCTCAGCCTCCTGAGTAGCTGGGATTACAGGCACGCGCCACCATGCCCAGCTAATGTTTTGTATTTTTAGTAGAGACGGGGTTTCCCCATGTTGACCAGGATGGTCTCGATCTCTTGACCTCGTGATCCACCCGCCTCGGCCTCCCAAAGTGCTGGGATGACAGGCGTGAGCCACCGCGCCCGGCCCGTTTGTTTTTTTAAGACGGAGTTTTTGCTCTGTCGCCCAGGCTGAAGTGCAGTGGTGCGATCTCAGCTCACTGCAACCCCCGCCTCTGGGGTGCAAGCAATTCTCCTGCCTCAGCCTCCCAAGGAGCTGGGATTACAGGCGTGCACCACCGCGCCCGGCTAATTTTTTTATTTTTAGTGGAGACGGGGTTTCATGATATTGGCCGGGCTGGTCTCGAACTCTGGTCTCAGGTGATCCGAAAGAGCTGGGGTATTACAGGCGTGAGCCCGGCCACGAAATTCATTTTCAGGTGAGACGGCGCCACCTAGCGGCCGCCGGCCCCGCCCCGACGGCAGCGTGGCCCCCAAGGCCCCGCCCCAGCGGGAGCCCCGCCTCCGCCCGCAGTTCCACAGGTGCCCGGCAGGTGGCACGCGCGGCCCGCTGAGGTTTCCCGCCTTCTTGTCTCGCCTCTAGAAAGGTTTCTTGGGTGTCCAGGGGTGCCCTCCTATGAAAAAATATTTAAAATGGTAAATTTATTCTACAATAGTCACCGTAAAAGAAAGACGAAAAGAATATTTTATTCTGCTTCATGTCCTGGAAAAGGGGGATTGATACAAAGATGGATATGACCGGTTGGATTCGTTTTATGTGTGTATGTACACATACATGTATGTGAACACACACACACACACACACACACACACACACATATATGAGTTTTTTCTTTTTTTTTGAGATAGAGTTTCGTTCTTGTTGTCCAGGCTGGAGTGCAATGGCGCGATCTCGGCTCACTGCAACCTCTGTCTCCTGGGTTCAGGCAATTCTCCTGCCTCAGCCTCCCGCGCAGCTGGGACTACAGGTGTGTGCCACCCTACCGGGCTAATTTTTGTATTTTTTTGTAGAGATGGGGTCTCGTTATGTAGCCCAGGCTGGTCTCAAACTCCCGGGTTCAGGCGACCCTCCCTTCTCAGCTTCCCAAATTGCCAGGATTATAGTCTTTTGCCACGGTGCTCAGCCTTAATTTTTTTATTTTACAATTTTTTTGTGGAGACAGGGTCTCACTATGTTGGCCAGGCTCATCTTGAACACCTAGTCTTAGGCCATCCTCCCGCCTAAGCCTCCCAGGCGTGACACACTGTGCTGAGCTCACTTCTTGTTTTTTGTTTTTTTTTTTTCCTTTTTTTTAGGAGTCTCTGTCGCCAGGCTGGAGCGCAGTGACGCCATCTCGGCTCACCACAACCTCCAACTCCCTGGTTCAAGCGATTCTCCTGCCTCAGCCTCTCAAGTAGCTGGGATTACAGGTGCCACCACGCCCAGCTAATTTGTTGTATTTTTAGTGGAGACGGTGTTTCATCATGTTGGCCAGGCTGGTCTCGAACTCCTGACCTCAGGTTATTCGCCTGTCTCGCCCTTCCAAAGTGCTGGGATTACAGGCGTGGGCCACTGGGCCCGGACCTAGTTTGGGCTTTTTTAACCTGAAGAGCTGTGAGAATTCGATCTGGAAGCTTTTATGAGGATGTCCCCAACCCCCGAGTGCAGAGTGGAGAACAGGTCCAGTGACCTGCAGGGTTGGGTGAGGATCAGGCTGTTTTCCTGTGCTGGAGGTTCCCAGAGCCACAGAAGCCCCAGGACATGGTCTGGCTGGGGAATCTTTAGACCTGGGGCACGGACTCAGAGGGGTCTGCCCTGACCTCACTCCACACTGCTGCCTACCCCCGCCAGGCAAGGGGAATCTGGAATATGGTGGAGCCAGCTACTCTGTGTAGACATTCTCAGCTCCCTCTCCGGCCTCCAGGCTATAAATAGGAGCCCCTCACTACAGGCAGCTGCCATCCTCCGTCCGCACCTCCCTGCGCCTGGCCCCTTTGGGGGAAGCTGCAGCCAGCTAGGCGGGTCACAGCTTCCTCCTGGGAAACGGGTAGGGGCTCTACCCTTCCTGCCCTAGGGGTAATTATGCCCCCACTCCATGCCATTCCCTTTGAACAAAGGGCAACCTAATCCTAAACAGGATGGTGAAGGGGTTGAATTAATATTGGCCCATATTACAGAGGGATAAACTGAGGCACAGAGGCCGATGCATCTGCTCTCCAGGTGCCTTTTGGGTCCGCTGGCCTCCTGGTGCTCCATCTTTGGTGGCAGGGGCTTTTCTGCACCTTCAGACTTGAACTGGGGTCTTGCCCTAGAGGGGAGCACAGGGAACGTCTCTCCAAAGCAACCCCCACCTGGGGCAGGTGTCTCGGGCCTCCCCCTCAGGGATGGGGCTGACAGCTGGGTTTGGGTGTTTAATAGAGTAATGGCGGACGCCTCTCAGACACCTGCTGGCATTAGGCTACATGTGGCCCTGGGGCCAGAAGGCTGGATTCAGGCCTTGGAGGGGGGGGAGGGGAGCAGCTTTCCTGCCTGGGAGCGCCGCGCTGTGATCTGGGCTCACCGCAACCTCCACCAGCGATTCTCCTGCCTCAGCCTCCCTCGTAGCTGGGATTACAGGAGAGCACCACCACACCCAGCTGATTTTTGTATTTTTAGTAGAAAAGGGGGGTTTTCACCATGTTGGCCAGGCTGGTCTCGAACTCTCGACCTCAGATGATCCGCCCTCCTTGGCCTCCCAAAGTGCTGGGATTACAGGCTTGAGCCACCATCGTTCTGTCAAAGGAGGAGGTGCAGCTGCGGGAAGGACAGAGAGAAAGTGGCAACGTTACTTTAGGGGAAGGGGTGAGAGACGCCTGCGACCCCGCCCCCCAGCACTCAGGACCAGGGACCCGAGCCCGCCTTAGAGACCCTCCACAGGTGAGGGCCCCCCTGGGGGGCCCCTGCCCGCCCTCCAGGCTCCCCTGGGCTCACATCCGGGCTGGAGCCTGTGCCTCTGCGCTCAGCCCCCGGGGGGTGCCTCCATGCTCACAGCTCCCTGCAGAGCACGCGCCCCCCCAACGCCGCCTTCCTTGCACCCCGCTGCGTGCCTCAGTTTACTGCTCTGCGCAGTGAGGACCACAAGGGTGCCCACTACCGAGAGGCGCGCGGGCTGGGGACAGGCGGGGACCTCCCTGGAGGGCGGCGCGGGGCACGTGGCCGGGCAGGCGCGCGCCGGGCCCGTGGAAGTCATCACCGCCCTCGCTTCGCCGTGGGCGGCCGAGCCCCCAGCGCTGGCGGCAGCCGGGCCGGGCGGGGTCGTCCCGGCCTCACCAGGGGTCTCGGGGTCCCCGCGCGCACCTCCCCGCGCCCGCGCCGAGCCCCCCCGCGCGCCGCCCGGCCCTCCCAGACCGAGGCCCGCGGAGCCCGGGGTCCTTCCCCCCGCCCCGCCCGCCCCGCTCCACACCGGGCCTTTCAGCCCATTTCACAGACGTGGAAACTGCGGCTGCGGCCGTGAAGTCACTCTCGCAGGGGCGCTGCATCTAAGGGGCGAAGGTGAAACTCCGAGCCCCGGAGGCCCGGCCTCGGCGCTCCGCAGGAAGGGGAAGGTCCTGGTCCCGGAGCCGGCTCCGATGCCCCCCAGTCCGCCCGGGCGGAGGCCCGGTGCCCTCTTCCCCACTCGGGGTGCTCCCGCTCTGGCCCGTGTCCCCGGCGCCTTCTGCGCTTGGGGCCGCGGCGCGCACTTTGCGCACCGTCCCTAGGCCGGGGCGGGGCCTCCCGCGGCGCTGTTCCCCCTTCCCGTTTATTATTTATTATCCTTTAAAGGGGCCGCGACCTGAAAATTTCCGTCCGCTCCGCCCGGCTCCCCAGCGCCCCCGGGCTGGTTGCGCGTCGTCCGACCGCGCGCGGGGGGCGAGGGGCGTCCGGGGAAACGTGGGGGGCCCTGGCGAGCCCCTCCCGCGCCCGGCCGCGGCGCTGAATCACCGGCCAGGTATTTGCATCCGAGAGCGACTCGTCCCCTGGTGATTTGTCTGGGGTGGGGGCGGGGCGGGGCGGGGGCCGGCCGCGCGCGGGGCGCCTCTCTCGGATCGGGCGGGCGGGTGTAGACGCGGCCGCGGCGGGCGGCTCGGTGAGTCGGGCGGGGCCGCGAGCCGGCGGCGGGAGGCCAGGCGGGCCCGGGCAGGCCGACCCCAGGCGCGGGGCGCTGCGACCCCCCGCCCCGAGCCGCCCTGCGCGGTGAGGCCGGGGGCGCGCTGGCCGTTCGGGGCGCGGGTTCCGGTGCCGGGGTGGGCGCAGTGCGCCCTGGAAGCCAGAGAACGGGGTCCCCAAAGTTGGGCGGAGATGTCGGGGGGAGGGCCCGCGCTGGGCGCGCGGCCCCGGCGGGTCGGGGTTCGGGGGATCTTCTCCGCGCCCGGCTTGGAGACCCCACTCCCCGCTGGATCGGGCGAGCGGGGGCGATCGGGGGTCGCGGGCGCGCGCCTCCCCCCTCCCCAGCGGAAGGAAACGGTCTCTGCGCGCGCGCGCGGGGGGCTGCACCCCGGGATTTTATTTCGTTTTTGTTCCTTCCCCCCGAAATCAGGGGTTCGTTCGGGAGCGCAGAGAGGAGGGAGGGCAGTTCCCGGAGCCTCCGCGGCCGGGCTGGTTTATTTATAAAGTGTCCGCGCCGGCGCGGAGAGGGGCCCCCGAGGGAGACACGGCGGCCCCCGCGCGCCCGGGTGGGCCGGGCCCGGCTGCCCGGGGCCCCGGCGGGGATTCCCGGGAAGAGCCCCCCGACCCGTGTCGGGGCCCCCCAGACACAAAAGCGGGCGCAGGAAGCGCTGGGAGCGCGCGTTTGTCAACGCCAACGTTCGGCGCCGACCCCAGGCGGCGGGTTCGATTATCTTCCGTTTTTAGGCGCTCGGGCTGGAGGGGTTCCCCCCGCCCCCCATGCAAATCGGCCGCTTTCCAAGAAGCCTTTGAAATCCGGGCCAGGGCTTCTGTCGTCTTGTTTCTCCCTCTTGAGTTTTTTCTCACTTCCTCCAGCCGCCCCCCAGGACTTTCTCAGCCCCCTCCCCAGCTTTCTGCCCGCCCCTCCCCCCCCCCCGTGGAGTGAGGGGCCCCTTTCGCCACCCGCGGGCCCAGGGCCTTGCACAACTCTTTAAATAACCATGTTTTGCAAGGCCCGGGCCGAGCGGGTGACCTCTCTCCGGAGGCCTGGGGGGAGGAGGGTGTGGCCCAGGATCCCTCCGCCCCCCACCCCTGCCAGGGCCAACGACCACCCAGCGCCCCGTCCCGGCCTCTCCCTTGGGGCTGTCATAAAATGGGGGTGGGGGTCGAGGACAAAGGGCTCTTGGGGGAGGGGTCTGAAGGGGGCGGGCGTTGCCAGTTTAGGGTTAATGGTGGCGATGGGGGGGCACCCAGGCTTGGCCTGGGGGGGGAATCTGGGATCCCCACCTGCCCCCTCCACCGGCCCCAACGTGGAGGCCTGTCCTGCTCCCCTCCCCCACCCGGCGACCCGGAAGGGTCATTAAACCCAGCAGAGCTCGGAGCGGGGTGGCGGGGGGAGTGGCTTCCTTTGGCCTCTTCCTTCTGTGCCCCCAAAGGGGGGGGGGGTTTTGTTGGGGCTCTTTCCGGGGGGGGGGGGCTTTTCTTGAAGTTGTCAAAGGTGGGGGAGGGGCAGCAGACCTGACCGGACCCTGAGCCAGAAATGCCCCCTCAGCACTTTCTTGGGGTGGGTGGCGGGTGAAGGGCCTGGGGCGGGGGGCTCTGGACCACCAGGCTCTCCTGGTCCCTCCCCCGCACTGTGGCCCTGAGGTCGTTGTGACCTGGGACCTCTGTCCCCACAACAGATGGGACCCAGAGGCTATTTTGGAATGTACCCTCCCTGATTTCTCCCCTGGGTCACCCACCTGCTCCCCCCCACCGACTGCCATTCACCCATGGGGCCGAAAGGCTCAGGGGTCTGGGTAAAGGGAGTCTGGGGCAGAGGGGGCCCCAAGGCTCTCGGTGGCTTTTGCAGGACCCCTCCGGTGAGACGGGAGGTTTGGGGGGGTCTGCTGTGCAGCACCGACCTGGGTGGGGTCGGGTCATGGGAGGGATCTGAGTCCCAGCAGCCTCTGCCTCTTCCCCTCTCTAGTCCTTGTCTGCCCGGGAGCTGTTTATGAGTCTTGGGGGCTCCTTTGCCAGGGTAAGGGTTGAGGGCGGCCTCCTGGGCCCAGCTGCCTCTCGGGAGGGTGGAGCTTTGCCGCCTCCCCTGTCTCCACCATGTGCCTTCACTCTGGGGTGTCGCTTGGTGGCACCCAGGCCTGTTGGGTTCCACCCGGCCTGTTTTATTGGCGGTCTGGGTGGGTGGAGGTGTGGCCTGGGCTGGGACCCAGGCCCCGGGATGTCTCCGTTCTGTGCCGAGGCCATTAGGACTGGCCCTGGGTGGATGGGACTGGAGGCTGGGGTGAGCACGTTGCAGTACGAGGCATCCGGCCTGCTGAGGGTCGCAGAGGACCGGGGAACTCCAGACTCCTGCTGCCCTGCAGAGTGTGGGGTCTGTGTGGAGGGCTCTCTGGTTACTCAGCCCTGAGTTCAAGCCTGAGCCCTGTGTGTCCAGGCAAAGGGTCTCTGAGCCTCAGTTGTCCTCAGCCGTGAAATGGGACGGCCCTGGCGCCTCCTTCCCTGACACCTGTTGGTTCCCACCTTAACCTCATGAACTCGCTGCATCCCACCTTGAGGGCCGTGAGGGGCGTACTGTGTTCCACACCGTTTTGCATGTGGGGAAACTGAGGCCCAGAGAGGTTGGGGCTCGGGCGTTGCCGTTGAGTTGTGTGATGGGAGGAGGGTTAGCCCAGGGCCGGTATGCAACAGGCGCTCAATGTCCGGCAGTCACCATGTCTGTCGGCCTGAGATGGGAGGATACCTGGGCCGCTCCAGCAGGGGCTGAGGCAGCCTCTGGAACTTAGAACCCGCCTGACTGGGGCCTGGAGCCCACTGGCCAATCACGGGCCAGGAACGCCCATTTCCCCCACCCTGCTTGTGAAGCAATAATCCGAGATCTCCCGGGGCAGGCAGGCTGGCCACAGCGTGTTTCTCTGTGGCCCAGTGCGGGGTGACCTTGCTACCCAGGCCCATGGTAGGGTGTATTCGAAGAGCCTGTGCCACTGCCTCCAGGAAGTCCTCCAGGTCTGCATCCTGCATGAGAGATGATCCCGGGGGGCCTTCGCTGGGAAGGAGGGGGCCTGAGCAGGCCTGCTCTGACCGTCTCTTTTTCCACCCTCAGGTTTTTGCGAATGTGTGAATGAGCCAGATGCCGGCCGCTGTCCCCTGGAGCCCAGCGTGAGGAAGAGGCATGCCCTGTCAGCCTTCAGCCTGAGCCCGGCGGCCCCCGCCCCCGCCCCCTGCCACCCTGCACTGCCCCGGCTCCCCCGCGGCCCCCACGCTGCAGTGTGGCCGGGCCCCGTCCCCACAGGGGCTGCCCCCGCCGCCCACCCCTAGCGCCCGCGGTGGTGGCGGTGGCCCGGCCCGCAGGGCCATGAAGCTACAGGCCGTGATGGAGACGCTCTTACAGCGGCAGCAGCGGGCGCGCCAGGAGCTGGAGGCCCGGCAGCAGCTGCCCCCCGAGCCCCCCGCTGCGCCCCCTGGCCGGGCCCGGGCCACCGCCGATGAGGACAGAGAGCCCGAGAGTGCCCGCATGCAGCGGGCTCAGATGGCCGCCCTGGCCGCCATGCGGGCCGCGGCTGCGGGCCTGGGACACCCAGCCAGCCCCGGTGACTCCGAGGACGGGCCCCCAGGCTCGGAGGAGGAGGACGCAGCCCGGGAGGGGACGCTGGGCTCACCAGTCGTGCCTGGCGGAGGCCGAGAAGGGCCGGGAGAGGAGCACCTTGAGGATATGGCCTCCGATGAGGACATGTGAGTTGGGGTCCCGGGCAGGGGCTTTGGGGGCTGTTACTGGCTCTGGGCGTCACTCTGCTCATCTGCAGAATGGAAGTGAGGGTCTGGCCGTGGGGCCTCCTGCCTGTAATCCCAGCACTTTGGGAGGCTGATATGGGAGGATCACTTGGGCCCAGGGGCTGGAGACCAGCCTGGGCAACGTAGCAAGACCCCGTTGTTGGAAAAAATTAAAAAATTAGCCAGGCACGGCGATGCTTGCCTGTGGTTCCAGCTACTAGGGAGGCTGAGGCAGGGGGATCCCTTGAGCCCAGGAGGTGGAGGTGGGTTGTGATTGCACCACTGCGCTCCAGCCTGGGCGAAGGAGCCAGGTCCTGTCTCAAAAAAAAATGTTTCTTAGCCGGGTGCTGTGGGTCACGAGCGTAATCCCAGCACTTTGGGAGGCTCAGGCGGGCGGATCCCCTGAGGTCAGGAGTTTGAGACCAGCCTGGCCAACATGGCGGAACCCCGTCTCTACTAAAAATACAAACATTAGCCGGGCGTGGTGGTGCGCGCCTGTGATCCCAGCTACTCGGGAGGCTGAGGCAGGAGAATCGCTTGAACCCGGGAGGCGGAGGTTGTAGTGACCCGAGAATGTGTTTCTTTTTTCAAACAGAGTCTTGCTCTGTCGCCCAGGCTGGAGGGCAATGGCACGATCTGGGCTCACTGCAGCCTCCGCCTCCCTGGTTCAGGTGATTCTCCTGCCTCAGCCTCCCCGGTAGCTGGGATTACAGGCGCGCGCCACCACGCCCGGCTGATTTTCGTGTTCTTAGTAGAGACGGGGTTTCGCCAAGTTGGCCAGGCTGGTCTCAAGCTCCTGTTTTTTATTAAAGGGAGTAAGTGAGCGTCCCGTGGACCCTGTCCCCGCCCAGCAAGTGTTTCTCGAGCCTGTACTGGGTGCCGGAGAATGGGCCTGTCAGGATGGCGGTGAAAACGTCCCCCATCTCTACCCTGCCGCCGGGAGTGGCTGCCAAACACGGGAAACGTGGCCAGGACGACTGAGGGCCGGGCCTTTAACTTCGTTTCATCCTAGTTAACTTAAAGCAGCCTAGTCACCGCTGGCTACGGCAGATTCAGCCCCAGGGGCAGATAAAATCTGCAGCCGGCAGGGCCTGTGCGGCGTGTGGGTCCCCCCAGGGCTGGCTGAGGGCTCACTTGCTGCGGGACCCTGGCCTCTAGAAACCCGCATCTTGCTGGGAGGACCAGCGGCCCACGCCTATAATCCCAGCACTTTGGGAGGCTGAGGTGGGACAATCAGCTGGGCTGAAAAGATCGAGACCAGCCTGGGCGATATAGTGAGACTCCGTTTCTACAGAAAGCGCAAAAAGGAGTTGGGGGTGGTGGTATGCATCTGTGGCCCCAGCTACTGGGGAGGCCGAGGCAGGAGGCTGGCGTGAGCCCAGGAGGCTGAGGCTGCAGTGAGCGGTGATCGCGCCACTGCGCTCCAGCCTGGGCGACAGGGCAGACCGTGTCTCCTAAAACAAACACAACCTGGCAAAGAAGCCAGGGGATGTCAGGTTGTACAAAGGGCTGCCAGGAAAGCCTAGGAGGGGTGTCGTGGAGGGGCAGCGGCTTGGAGCGGGGGGGATTTCAGGTAGTGGTGGGAGAATTCCCCCTGTGGAGGGACGAGGGGGTGGAGCCGGGCACAGGATGCCTGCTGCGGGAACCAGCCTGCGATGATAATCCGCCCCCCCTTTTTTTTTTTAAGAGACAGGGTCTTCCTCTGTGGCCCAGGCTGAGGTGCAGCGATGACATCACAGCTCACTGCAGCCTCCACCTCCTGGGCTCCAGGGATCCTCCTGCCTTGGCCTCCCAGAGTGCTGCAGGCATCGTAGGCGTGTGCCACCGTGCCTGCCCGCGTGATGCTTTTCAGGGCCCCAAGATTCATGCTGTGGGGACCGTTTGTGCTGTTCTGGACTAGTTGGGAACAAAATGGGCGTCACGGGCGCCCCGCACAGGCTGTGCTCACGGGAGCTCTCTGCAAACCCATTTCCAGAGAAAGAAACTGAGGTTGGGTCGGGGAGCGGGTCTGTCCCTCGGCGGGGACGAGCCGGTACCTTCTCCCCTGACTCCTGCCCTCTGCTCACCCCAGGAAGCCCAAATGGGAGGAGGAGGAGATGGAGGAAGACCTCGGGGAGGATGAGGAGGAGGAGGATTATGAGGAGGAGGAGGAGGAGGAGGACGAGGAGGGGCTGGGGCCCCCAGGCCCCGCCAGCCTGAGCACTTCGGCCCTGTTCCCCCACAAGGCCCAGCCGCCCCAGGCCTTCCGCGGCAGCGACGGCGTTCCCAGGGCACTGGGGACCCAGGAGCGGCCCGGGCCTGGCCCTGCCCACTCTGGAGGGGCCGCCTGTGTAGCCCCACAGCTGCAGCCACCGGACCACGGGGACTGGACGTACGAGGAACAGTTTAAGCAGGTGAGTGGGCGCGTCCCGCGGGGCGGGGGGCCGCAGGTTCCTGGGCCCACCCACTGGGGCCCTTGGAAGGCCCACGTTTTTCGGGGTGCGTGCTGAGCCGGGCGTCATGTTGAGAACCGGGGTTCCTGCGGAGGCTCCAGCGCCGATGCCCCCAGCGCGTGGGCTCTGCTGTGGGATGTGTGAGGGGTACCAGCCGGGAAGCAGAAACCTGGGGGGCTCCGGGCCCCACGTCAGAGCTGGTGACGGGGCAGAGACGGAAAGGCAGGCCTGGGAGGGAGGGGCCGGGGCCAGCCTGAGCCGGGCGTGGGCTGCAGGAACCAGGCATGTGGGCGATGCGGGCAGAGGGCGGGGGCCGTGGTGACGCGGTGAGGAGCCTTCTCCATGCCCCGGAGTCTGTGGACAGCCTGGGGGTTGCGGGCTGCAGCTGGCCGCCGAAGGGACCTGGGGGTGGCTCAGGGGTGGCTGCAGGAGCCAGGGCCTGTGAGGCTCTGAGCGGGCAGTTAAGGCTGGGCTGGCAGGGGGGTCTCAGGGACCCCAGGCTGCAGGAGGAAGCAGGGGCCGCCCCGGCCTTTCCCTGCAGGCGGCCAGGCCAGAGGAAGTGGCCAGGCGGGGGCTGCTTTGAAGTTGGGCCGTGCTGGGCCGGGCAGATGGAAACCAGATGGTGGCCAGGCTCACATTCCAGCCCTCGGCCAGCTGGGCTGTGCCCTGACCTCTGGGCGCGGCTGGGGGGAGCCACCTTCTCGCTCAGGGCCGGAGGCTGGTCTGCGCTCCCGCAGGGAGGTGGGTGACGGACGCGCTGGGACACGCCTGCCCAAGGGGAGCCCCTCCGACCCTGGGCTTCCAGGACCTGCTCTGAGGAGCCTTCCAGGAGGGGCCGAGGCACAGACACCCAGTGGGGCCTCCCTGGGGCTCCTGACTCCAGGGGTGCTTGGTAGGAGGCGGGGCTCTGACCCCAGCAGCCCTCGAGAGCGTTCAGCTTGGGCTGCCTGGAAGTTCACACCCAGTGAAGAGCTGAAAGCCGGACGCAGCGCAGTGTGGGGGAACGGGCAGGGCTGCGGCGGGGACTCGGGGGCGTCTCGCCGACCCCACCCTGCTCTGTGACTCAGTTTCCCTTTCCCGGAGAAGGGGATACTCTACGGGCCACGCCACCATGCGTCCCGTTTTGCCTGTGAGAAAGCGGAGGCTCGCGCTGGGAGACGGGCCTGGGGCGCCGGGCGCGTGATCTTTTCTGGGTTTAAGCGGATACTGATGAGCATGTTGAGGGCGGATTCTGTTTAATTTCATTTGTTTATTCACCCAATATTTGCCGTCTGTCCGGGCTCCCAGGACTGGGGCGGGGGGCGGGCAGGAGTTGGACGGAGACCGCCACCCCCTCAGGGTCATAGCCAAGCCCACAGCGGGGGTCAAGGCCCCCCTCAGTCAGTCGGTCCTGGTGGGGGGGGGGTCAGAGGTGAATGGGACCCCCCTGACCCTGGACACATGCCCCGTTCAGACAGCCCCAACCTCCAAGGCCCAAAACCGACGGGGCGACTAGCCAGGCGCCCTGACCCCTCAGCCCGCAGCGTGTCTGGAACAAAGGCGGCAGAAGCCACCGTGGAGTTCGTCTGGGTGACGCTCTGGGTCAGGGTCGCAGGCGCTGCAGCCAGGGCTGTCGGGGGTTTTCTGCAGCGTGAAGCTGAGATGGGGAAACTGAGGCCAGAGCAGGGAGGGGTCACCATGTGTCACCCGCAGCCTCAGGTATTCACGGAGCTCCTGCTGGATGCCTGGCCCCCCGGCGCCTACTTCCTGGGTGTCCCGGGCAGGGAACAGCTTGTGCAAAGGCCCTGAGGTTGGACTAAAGCTGGGCTGTGTGTAGGGGTTGGGGGCCGGGTGCCACCCCGGACTAGGTCTTACAGGAGATGGGATTGGAATTCTGAGAAGATGGGGGCCAAGGAGGGGTGTGGGCAGTGGGGGGGGAGGCCCCTCCCTGCAGTCCTGGGATTTTTTTTTTTCCCCTAGAGACAGGGTCTCACTATTTGCCCAGGTTGGTCTCAGACTCTTGAGCTCAAGTGATCTGCCTAACCCGGCCTCCCAAAGTGCTGGGATTACAGGCCTGAGTCAGCGTGCCCGGCCAGTCCCGGGATCTTATCCCGGGCCGTTTGTGGCAGGTCCAGCCGCCGACGCCACCGCCCGCCCAGCTGGCCAGGCACCTGCACTCCAGTGTCAACAGTGGCCTGGGCCCAGCCGGCCCAGCCGATGTTCCCCCCCTTACCCCTGCTGGGGCCCCTGTTGGCTCCGGCGCCTGCCCCACCCCCTTCCTGGCACGTGGCAGCCCTGGCCTGCTGGCCAGCCTCTTGGCACCGTCTCTGCCTCTTCCTCCCGGGTCCTGGCAGGGCTCGAGGCTAACTTCCGCCTGCAGATCCTCGACAGCTGTGAAATTGTGCTGTCGGCTGCAGATCTGGTGGGAGGCCAGGCTGCGGAGGGGCTGGTGCAGCCGGCTCGGGGCCGCGGGTTCTCTCCCTGGACACCTGGAACCTGGCCGCCGTGGGGCCTGGGACGTGCGCTCTTGGAGGCCGGCACGCGTCAGGCAGTGATTAGGATCTCAGCCTCCTGATGTCTGACGCAGCCTCCTGGTGGCTTCCTGTCACTCACCCAGCAGGCCTGGGCTCTGGAGAGCGGCCCTGGTAGGATTTTGTTTTATTTTGTTTTATTTATTTATTTTTTTGAGACGGAGTCTTGTTCTCCGCCCAGGCTGGAGTGCAGTGGCACGATCTCGGCCCACCGCAAGCTCCGCCTCCCGGGTTCAAGCGATTCTCCTGCCTCAGCCCCCCGAGTAGCTGGGATTACAGGCGCCCACCATCCCGCCCGGCTACTTTTTGTATTTTTTTTTTTGTTTTTTTGAGACGGAGTTTCGCTCTTGTTACCCAGGCTGGAGTGCAATGGCGCGATCTCGGCTCACCGCAACCTCCGCCTCCCGGCTTCAGGCAATTCTCCTGCCTCAGCCTCCTGAGTAGCTGGGATTACAGGCACGCACCACCATGCCCAGCTAATGTTTTGTATTTTTAGTAGAGACGGGGTTTCACCATGTTGACCAGGATGGTCTCGATCTCTTGACCTCGTGATCCACCCGCCTCGGCCTCCCGAAGTGCTGGAATTACAGGCGTGAGCCACCGCGCCCGGCCGATAGGATTTTATTATTTTTGAGACACGGCCTTACTCTGTCGCCCAGGCTGGAGTGCAGTGGTGCAGTCCTCGCTCACTGCAGCCTCCATCTTCTGGGTTCCATCGATCCTCCTGCCTCAGCCTCCTGAGTAGCCGGGAGTCCAGACAGGTGTCACCACGCTCGGCTAATTCTTGTAGAGGTGGGGTCTCTCTGTGTTGCCCAGGCTGGTCTGGAACTCCTGGGCTCCGGTGACCCGGCCACCTCAGGCCATCTGCCCTCTCAAAGTGCTGGGATTCCAGGCACCCGCCACCATGCCCCGCTGTGGTGGGTTTTAAACGCACAGGGTGGGCGGCGGCAGGTCTTCAGCCACTTAAGGATTTGAACCTTCAGTGTCAACAACTCTAATAAGTGTTGAATAAATTTGAAATGAATCTTAAAAAGAAGCTTTGTTGGGCTATCGGTCATATGCCATTCAATTCACTGTTTTATTTTATTTTTTTGGCTGAGAGACCTGAATCGATTCACTGTTTTTTTTGTTTGTTTGTTTTTGTTTTTTTTTGAGACGGAGTTTCCCTCCTGTTACCCAGGCTGGAGTGCAATGGCGCGATCTCGGCTCACCGCAACCTCCGCCTCCCGGGTTCAGGCAATTCTCCTGCCTCAGCCTCCTGAGTAGCTGGGATTACAGGCACGCGCCACCATGCCCAGCTGATTTTTTGTATTTTTAGTAGAGACGGGGTTTCACCATGTTGACCAGGACGGTCTCGATCTCTTGACCTCGTGATCCACCTGCCTCGGCCTCCCACAGTGCCGGGATTACAGGCGTGAGCCACCGCGCCCGGCTCTTTTCTTTCTTTTTTTGAGTCGGTGTCCCACAGTGTTGGCTCCCTGCAACCCCTGATTCCGGGTTTAAGCAATTCCCTTGCCTCAGCCTCCCGAGTAGCTGGGATTACAGGTGACCTCCACAAAGCGCCCGGCTCATTTTTAAAATATTTTTAGTAGAGACGGACCTTCTCCATGTCGTTCAGGCTGGTCTCGAACTCCCAACCTCAGGTGATCTGCCCGCCTTGGCCTCCCAAAGTGCTGGGATTACAGGCGTGAGCCACCGCGCCCGGCCCCCTCCCTCACTTTCTACAAAGGGATCTCAGATGTCCCTTCTGGTTTCTGTCCTATAAAACCTAGTTTCATTCTTCTTGCAGGGAGGAAAAAAATGGCCTGTTGACAGTGAGCCCTGAGCCTCTGCCTCAACCTCTAGGGCCTGAGCTGTGGGTTCTCCAGGCCTTTCTCTACCCACGTGCACCCAGGAATGTGACCTTCCAGGCATCTAAGGTGTGATCTTTAGCGGGGGCTGGGAGGTTCCTCCCCCCGCTGCCTTCGAGGAGCTGTTTTCCTTGGGTGTGTTTGCTCGTAATTGGGATATTCCGAGCCGCCTGGTTCTTTTCAGCCGTGTGGACGTTTCGTTTCCCTCGTGAGGGTGGACACCAGCGCATCTGCGCACTTCCTGGGGTCATTTCCCTGTTGTAAACAGCACCGTAAGGAACATCTTCGGGAGAGTGAGAGTTGCTTGGAGCAGTGTGGGGAGGAGGTGGGGAGCTGGAATTGCCAGGGCTCTGGGAGAAGCGGGCAGGCACTTTCTCCATCCTGCCCCAAAGACCCCCAGGCTGGTGGGAGCCAGAGCTGAATGTGAAGGTGGCATTGAGATCTGGCCTGGTCTAACCACCTCCATTTCAGACCGAGGCTTGGAGGCGCTGCTGGGTTTCCCCAAATCCCTCGAGGGGTCGGGGTGGGCTAGAGGGGACCGAGGGGAGGCTGCCCAGAGGAAGCGGCATTGGGGCTGCGGCTTTGCAGGATGTGTAAGAGT